TTACAGCTATTTAGCCCTAAGTATATATAGAAGAGCCTACCTACTAAAATTCAGATTAATATCTCAATATCAGTCTTGATAAATAACCATACGAAATTATTATTTCTGGTAAATAATTCAAAATACGATTAATATTTACAATCAAAAACAGTCTGCCTTTTTCAAAATACATGGAATCAAGTATATTAAGACCATAATGCTTGGGTTTGGGATTTTCGAGTATAATTTCTTCAAAGATCGAAACGTGCCTCAGCCAGCCAGCAGGCTCAGATCTTGAAGCACACTCGACAAAATATCCCGCGGCAGCAATGCTGTACAAAGCCAAGCTAGACCTACCTTCGGAAGGGATCTCCGAGGTTTGAAGTCTTGCAGAGATGCCTTCGACGCAAGGCACTGCGGCCTTGAACTCCAGTTTGGGATCCACATCTTCCAATTCTCACACTAGTTCTGTGTCCCTGCTTGTCGTCGGGTCAAAGACGTACATCTGCTGCCAAGCCATCTCTCCGTGATGCCCATACCTTTCCACAGCGATCCCTTACAAAGCAACAACCATGGCCTAGACATGGAGACTCCCAATAAGTTTCGAGGCAGGTACGTGGCATTGGACGTCTTCACCGTTCCCAACACGAATCCTGAACAGACGTGTTCGAGCTCAATTGTTTTGCTGCTTTTGGGGCTGAAGCTGACCGTGCTTCCTTTGTCGGCTTCAGCATGGCATATTACTAGCCATCAGTGATGCTGTCATTCTCGATTCGCCGGTGTTGCTGCTCTCGTTACTGGTCAATGTTGCTAATGCTGTTGTTGCAAGTAGTTCTGCTGCTGCTTGTGCCGTTGGCGTTGATGGTGGTGGTTGTGGTGCTTGTGGTGGCTGTGGTTGTTGTGGCTGTGTTTGTGGTGGTGGTGGTGGTGGTGGTGGTGGTGGTGGTGGTGGTGGTGGTGGTCGTGGTGGTGGTGGTGGTGGTGGTGGTGGCTGCTGCTGCTGCTGCTGTGACTGTTGTCGTTGTTGTTGGTGTCGTCGT